AGGACAAGGCCGTGCAAATTCTCTTTCACAACGTCAATGCCAGCCTCTTACCGTCCACCCCCTTAAACCGTTTCCTTCCGACACCCACGGTTTTGCTTCTGAATGCGTGTGGAAGCCCCACCCTTCCTACCTCCTGAACCGCACCACTACCTCTCTCTCTTCGCCTCACCCCTCTCCCTCTCCTGTGCCCCGAAACATCCCGTCCATCTCCCCCATTCGCCCCCTTGCCCTAGTTCCCCTTTCCCGGGTAGTCTACCAATAAGCCTTTCGCCACCTCCTCTGCCTTCGCCCGTCCGCACAAGCGATCGACTAAGGTCAAGGCGAAGCGAAGCGTCGTCCCCGGGCCACGGCTCGTGACCACATGCCCGTCCTCCACCACGCCCTCCTCCCCGTCCTCGTAGCGAGCCAGGCTCGACACGAAGCGTTCCGCCGGGAAACACGTGGCGCGTTTCCCTGTCAAGAAGCCATGGGTGTGTAAAACCACCGCGGGCGAGGCGCAGATGGCAGCCACAAGGCGTTGGGCTTTATCTTGACGTTGCAACAGCGTCAAAAGGGCGGGGGAATCCCGCAAATGTTCCGCCCCCGGCAGTCCGCCTGGGCAGGCGATCAAATCCCATTCCTCCCCCAGGCAGTCGTCGATGCCCTTGTCCGCCACGAGCTTCACACCACGAGAGCACGTCACCTGCCACGACCTGGGCAAAGTGGCAGTCGAGGCGGAGGGCATGACAGAGGCCACGGTCACGGCGGCCCCGGCCCGGACAAGGACGTCGATGATCGTCACCGACTCGATTTCTTCCGAGCCGTCGGCCACCGGCACGAGCACTTTCTTGGGCGCTGCCGGCGTGGAGGAGGATGACAAAAAGCACCGGGACCAGGAGGAGGTCGCCGCGGGGGAAGGAAAAGGACGGGCGCGGAGAAGGAAAGCGGAGGAGGTGGGGAGGATAATGGAGTGCATGCAAAGTATGGCGATGGCCGTGGTGGAAAAATAGAGCCGGGACAGCGTCATCATGTGGGTTTTGGAAAAACGAAGAGGGAAGCTGGATGAGCGGGCAGGAAAGAAATAACAGGGAAATAGTGAGCGACTCAGGCACATGCTCCACCGTGTGAAAGACAGTGCAAGAGCACCGTATCATATCACGTGCATGCAAGCGCGGAGGGTAACGCAAAGTCAGAATTGCTCACAGCATTGTGCTTCTGGAAGGGAGGGGGGAGGTTCACAAGGATTCAGGCACGAGACTGCTTACCGCTTTCCATACCACGCTCCGCAAAGGGGCTATTCACGCGGCTGCTGCGACGGACGTGTGATAGATGGGTTTCGAGGTATATGTGTGAGCGCAATTATATGACCGAATTTGCCGGCGGGGATGATGGAAGTGAGGGAGCAAGAGGAAATATGTCCCGTCCACAGTCTTTCACTTGAGCACGCCTCTTGCCTCCTGTGCTTATCTCCTGCTGTACAACCTCGCCAGCTCAATTAAGTCTTCGAAATTTAGATAGAAAAAATATAGGTGTCGAGCGCGAACCTCCCATTAAGTCAAGCTAATGTGTCATGCTACTTTTATTCCTATCCCCTGTCAGCGCAGGCCAAAATGATATCTGTGGGTGTCAAAGTACGCTCCGCCCAGCCCTATTTTTCACTATTTTCCAAACATTATTGCCGGGCTTGAATATCACAGATACTCTCCAGGCCAATCAAATCAAGTATTATCTATTTCACAAGTTTCATTGCTCATGCTAATGTAATCTCCTGACACCATATTCCTCTTTTTCACGATAACAGGAGGGCATGATACGCCAACGGACAGGCACGCATTCGAAAAATATTTTATGGTTATCATCACGTCTACCTGCTCATTCCTGTTGGTTATTGATCCTGTTTTCCCAGATTCTTTTCATCAATGCCTTCCCAACCATACCTCCTCCTCCGTCCACTCGTCTCTCCGATGCCCTTTCATTCAGCCCCCTTCCCTCCCATGCACGGGACCCTGTCCTGCTTCACGACTGGTCAGATCGTCTCACTCCGTACCAGGACGCATGGGACACCCAGCATCGTCTCGTGGATGGCAAACTTGCCTCGCTTGCTGACAGCAGCCACGAAAAAGCCGCCTTCGACAGCTTACTCCTCGTTCAACACCCACCCACCTACACACTGGGCACAGGAAGCACCCCTTCCAATATCCTTTTCGACCCAAATGACCCTCAGAATGCCCCCGCGGCGCTCTTCAAGACAGAGCGGGGGGGTGAAGCCACCTGGCATGGCCCAGGGCAACTGGTCGCCTATCCGGTCTTGGACTTGAGACATTACAAACAAGACCTGCACTGGTACTTGCGGGCATTGGAAGAGGTGGTGATCCGGACGCTGGCGCCCTTAGGTGTCCGTGGAGGAAGGGAAGAAGGACTGACGGGTGTGTGGGTGGAGGGACGGAAGGTGGCCGCAGTGGGGGTCAAGGTCAAGAGATGGATAACCATGCACGGCGTGGCTCTGAATATCGACCCGCCCATGGAATATTTTCGGCACATTGTGCCCTGCGGCATTGGGGACCGGCCCGTGGGCTCGCTCCAGGAGGCGTGGGAGCGGCAAGGGAAGACAGGAAAGCTGCAGGTGCAGGATGTGACCCCGTTGATGGTCAAGGCTTTCGAAGAAGTCTTTGGCGTGGCGCTAGATAGCGTCCAAGACTGAAGCGATGCGGATAAGACCTTTCTGGGGACGAGCACGAGGCAAGTCTTGGATTACGGCAATGAGGAAAGGAAACTTGTATATACACGTGCATCTTGCCTTTTGTGTCAATGTCAAATGTCGTCCAGCCTAAAAAGGCGATGACTTCGCATAATATCAGGTTTAGCTGACGGGAAATAGGCCTGTACTTGTAAAGAAAAGAATGCTCGAAGAGTTGCCCATTGGATGAACTTTGACGTTTGACATATGTTCGACGAATGAGGGCCTCCGTGTACTCCAGCTTGAAGCACATCCTGCCTGTACAACTCTTTTGATGATAAAAAATCCTCACATGGTAAATGTAAATGTACGCCTTCGTAATGAGCGATGTGATATACTGTATTGATCTCACTAAGTACAATTATCCATGAGAGAAGCCATGACGTTTCTCTCTGCACATGCAAGCTGCATCATTTTATGAAAAGCATTTTCCCCTCTTGTATATATATATATTGATGGGCCTTGCTTGTACACTTTTTTGTTATTCATTCTGTTTTTTCCAAAGGTACGCCGCCGTGCGTGACGGCACACGATTTGCTTTCTTTGTAGCGTCCGATTCTAAGTGATGTACTACCAATATATTGAATCCACTTATGAACGCGTCTAGGGGCAAAACAGTCGGGTAAAATGGCATTGACGAGCACGAAACAGAAATTATGTCAGATCTTAACCACGCAATGCACGTATGTCAGCATGATCTTCACGCTTGCAATTCTGGTTCACGTCAACGACATCGATATCGCGGAAATTTCTGCCTGCCGCAAGGATGGTCCCCACAGGTTGGACCCAAGCCTTCGCGTGAAATGAGCAGAGAAAAACTTTCAATTATCTGGCTCAGAGGTTGGGATAAGACGCGAACGTCTCCGCCTGGCTCGTTTTTTGTTGCTTTTGCACAGGCATGGAAGGTTTTTGACTGCCCGAGGATAGGGATGATTTGGGGCCATATGCTGCGTCTGCATGGAGAGCAACCAATGTTTTTACAATTTCGACGCATCGGAGGCAAATAAAATAATTATGATTCCATGAGAGCTTAAGTTTTTGCGCTATCGTATAACCTTTCACCAGCATAAGCGTGCTTTTACAGGGAAATTTCCCCTCTCATGCTTTGCTTGGAGCATCTTTTCGTTTTTTGCCCATGATGCTGGGTAGTGTATCAACCCCTCGCGCATCACCCCTGCGAAAATACCACAATAAACAGCTCTATCGCTGCTTCTATCCAGTCGAAAAGCAAGTACAGTTAAATTTTACCCGGTGTCGAGTCCATGCCGCGTTCATCGATCCCTCCAATGCCCCCAGGCGCGGCTGCCGCTCCTGCACTGATCGCGCCAAAGGTGGTCGTGGAGGTGAGTTAAACGATGCAAAGTGCGCAAAACAGTATGGTAAAAATAAAAAGGTATCAAGTGCCACCAACAAGAGACATGTGTCTTGTCATTAGCAGATGGAAGCTAGCATTTTCGTTCCTTGTGGACGCCAAAGTACCGTTCCTCCGCATGCTAATTACCTACCCCTTGGGTATTTGCATGCCCTTTTCCGATTCCCATCCGTCTTGCCCTCGTTCCCTAAAGCATGCAAACAAGTGTGTAACAAGTGTGCTTATCCCAAGCGTTGTTGGAATTCAGCTTTCTCCTTCTTTTTCACTCCTCTAGGTGTTTCTCGACTTGAATTGTCCTCCGTCCCGACGATGTTTCAAGACACTCTATGAGGGCGGCATCATCGAGGCCTACAAGGACAAGGCCGTGCAAATTCTCTTTCACAACGTCATTCAGCCTTGGCACGCTGTGGGTGCTTGGATGCACGAGGCCGCTCTGGCCGTGAAGGACCTGCAGCCGTCCGCGTTCTACCCGTACGCCAACAAGGTATTCGACGCCATGGAGCGCTTCTCCGACGTGAACACGGAGGAAATGACGCGAAAAGAGGTGATGGCCGCGCTGATTGCCCTGGGCGTGGAGGCGGGAGTCCCGCGGCCGGCCTTGGAGGAGCGGCTCGCCTTGCAGGGAGGTAGCAGTGGGAACAAAGGCACAGCCACGACCCAAGCTGTGAAATGGGCGTGTAAATATCACCGGCGCCGAGGCGTGCACGTCACGCCCACGGTGTTTGTGAACGGATTGGAAGCCAGCGAGGTCTCGAGCGCGTGGGGCGTGGAGGAATGGAAGAGGCTCCTGG